GCAGGATGCACTCTGGAATGATCTTTTTGTGTCCTGCAGGGCGACAGCAGCATTCGCTACTTTGAGATCACGGATGAATCCCCCTACGTTCACTACCTCAACACCTTCAGCAGCAAAGAGCCGCAGAGGGGGATGGGGTTCATGCCAAAGAGGGGCCTTGATGTGAACAAGTGCGAGATTGCCAGGTAAGGAGAAAGGCTGATCCCAATCTCCAGCTTGTATGCAGCAAGCAGGTTGGAAGCTATCTCAAGAATTTATTTTGAGCAGCAGTGTGTGCAGATGTGGTTTGGTATCACCAAGGAAAGTAAGGCAAAGGAAAGCACCTCAGGGATGCAGGCTGATGTCTGCAGTGCCTCCTGGCATACTGCTGGTAGGGAATGTGCTAGAGGTGGTTTCTGAAGCTCCTTGGTCCTCCTCTTGTTATTAATGAAAGCAGGAGAGCCAGAAAGGAAGCAAAGCCTTCAAACAAATTGTCTGCAGCATATGAATTTTCCAGTAGCAGTGCCCCAGTGGCTGAGCTGAGGAATTGGAGTTTGTGTAACTGGCTCAGAGTAAGACTGTGTAGTGAGCAGGATGCTGCTGCTGCTGTGATACCTGGAAATCACTTGTATGGTGCTTGTCTCAACAGCCCAAGCAGCGGGCTGTGCCATTCTGATGGCCCTTCTGGCCAAAGTGCTCTCTGAAGTCACGCAGTGCCTAGGAGGGAGTTCTGCACACACACAGGTAGCTTTCTCTGGGCCTTACAAGGGCTCTGCTCTAGCGCAGCCCTGCTGTGACTCTTTAGGATTGCCTCTGCCTCTCAGTACACTGCTATGCATGAGCAGCAGAACAGAGGCTTCCTCTGCATGGCATGTCAGTTGTCCTCGCCTCCAAGTCACACCTCTTCTTCATTATTATTATTTTTGAAAGGTTCTTCAAGCTTCATGAGCGGAAATGTGAGCCCATCATCATGACGGTCCCTCGAAAGGTGAGCCCAGGATGCTGCTGGCACGGTGTGCAGGCCACTGCTGCCTTCCAGCCCCAAAGCTCCTGACCCACTGATTTCTCCTTGCAGTCGGACCTCTTCCAGGATGACCTGTACCCTGATACAGCCGGCCCAGAGGCAGCGCTGGAAGCAGAAGAGTGGTTTGAGGGGAAGAATGCTGATCCACTTCTCATTTCCTTGAAGCATGGGTACATTCCTGGCAAGAACAGGGATCTCAAGGTGGTCAAGAAGAATATACTGGACAATAAGCCTGCTGCAAACAAGAAAAGTGATCTCATAAGTGCTCCAAAGAAAGCAGCTGATGCCTCAGACACTGTGAGTAAAATCCACAAGCTTTTGGGGGTGCTGGCCTGAAATTGTTTGCCATCCTCAGGAACGGGTCTAACAAAGCTGGTGCGTGCAATTCCAGCACACTGGGAATGGGTCAGGCTGCTGTCTGCAAGGAGGGTTTGCATTAGGGATGTGGTGAGCAGCATGAGTGGGCTGATGGTTGGACTCGATGATCTCAGAGGTCTTTTCCAACCTTAACGATTCCATGATGGGAGTTCAGCATGCTTGAGCCTTGCAGGGCTCCCATCCAGAGAAGTCCCTTTGCTTTAACAACTTAATTCTGCAGGACCGAATCCTGCCATCTCGTAATGAATGTATGCTGTGTCTTTCCTTCCAGCAAAACGAAGCCAAATTGGATGAGATTTTGAAAGAGCTGAAATCCATAAAAGACACCATCACCAACCAAGACGAGCGCATTTCCAAGCTGGAACAGCAGATGGCGAAGATTGCAGACTGAGCGGGGCTGGCGGGCGCTGCCAGCCCAACACATTCCAGTTCCCCAGTTTGGCCAGCAGCAGCGTGCAGCATTCCAGTACGAGCTTTCCTGTTCTCCCAAATTCACGTCAACGAGAGCCGATGATTAAAGCCAAGCTTTTTAGTGAAAGAATTTTTTTTTTCCTGATGTTTTAATGAATTTATGTGACTGTGTCAAACAATTCAACGAGAATAAGTGCTACTTTTACAGTCTTTATTTTTTTTTTTTTCACAGATGTTATGAATTCTTGAAAAGAAACCCATTCTGACTCTTTCAATGTTGTGCCCAAATATCTTTTCTAGATGTAGGGACCAATGCCACATTGTTCGTAACCATTTTTTTTTTTTTTTTTAAAGTTGCCAAAAAAAAAAAAAGAAAAAGAGAAAAGAGAAAAAAAAAAGTTGCTTTTTTTTTTTAAATTTTATTTGCCACTTTGCAGTATTTGTGTTCTAAATTTAAAGGGACAGCACTGTGTGTGTGTGCGCGTGCGTGTATGGGGGTGTTTATACTGTTTAGAGATCGGAACTGAAGCTATTTTGTATAAATCTTCAATGTTGAACAATCAGATCGGCTTCCCTCACGGTGTGGCTGCTGCTGAGCCCCTCAGAGGTGACTTTCCTGCCTTCCTAATGCCTTCTGATCATGGTTGAAAAATATATATATCGTTCTGAACGAAGTGATCCGTGCCACAATGCCTCTTCTCCTTTGTACACCCTGCAGGACTTCTGAACCAGCGTCGTGCTGCCCTTGGAAAAGAGTTTGGGACCATCCCAGCTGTGTCCAAATGGACGTGTGCTCATTGCCAGGTTTTGTTTTAAGGCAGAAGTGACCTCCGTGCAGGCAGTGGTGTTGTGTTGATGGGGCACAAAGCTTAAGGTGTCAGCAGCCTGCAGGCTACACGTGCAGCCAGCTCCTGTGCTGTGTGCATGGCTGTAAATGTATGCCTGCACATTAATTGCTTTCAGAAGCCTTTAAAAGCTGCGACTTTGCAATTCTTTGTCCCAAACTGTAGTGCTGATGATAGAAATTTGGACTCTGCTTCCAAAGCAGTGTTAGGAGCAGCCGGGCAACTTTCATGATGGATCTCAGAAACAAAACGCCTCTGACTGTTGTTGATCTTTTTTCCTCCCCTCTATCATCCCTGCCTTAAAACTTTGCAGGAAATGGTTTCTTCCTGGATGAGATCAGCAACCTTCCTCCTCTTTGAGGTCCTCAGCTGAAAGGTGCAAGACATGCCAAGCTCCTTGCTGGGTTTCTGCTGCTCACATGAGGTCTGCACTGCCAGCAGGATGCCTGGGCATGGGATAGGGGTGTTCTTGGCTCTGTATCTGGCCATAGGAATTCCCATAGATGTGCCCAGGATGATGCTGCCCAGCCAAACTCTGCCAGCCCTCAGGCTTTGCTGTATTGGTGCAGCCCACATGCAGTGCCCAGCATCCTTTATCAAACCCAACGTGAGCAAACCTGTTGGGGTCAGAGTGACATATGGGAAGCAGTCAGCAGCTGATGAGCCCCCAGTCCCTTCCCAGCTGTGCTCTAGTCCTTCATCCAGCACGGCTGCAGCATGTGTGCGTGCCTGTGTGTGTGCTCAGAGCAGCAGCAGGGTGCATCCCTTCATCCAGGCTGATCCCTTTTTCCATTAGGTTAGCTAGAAAGCCTCAAATCCCCCATGAGGTTGGTTTTTGGGGTTTTTCCTTTTTCCAGTGTTTGCACGTTCACTCCTTACCTGTTAATGATTCTCTGTGCTGGAGGGATGTCTGTGTTGGTGAGAATGGGGACAGCTAGGAGAAATAGCAGAGAAGCACAAGGATGGGATGCGAGAGGCAGAGAATGTGTTACGATCCCATAGCATGAAAGCTTCCTCAAAGTGTTTTTAGGTGGGGGTGTGGGTGACCGCTGGGGCCGTGTCACAGCCCTCCTGGGGCCGTTTGGTGACGTTTCTGTGCCGCAGTATATGGCTGAGCTGATATGTCTTTACTTTTGGGAAGTCAAAACCAAACGTTCCGCTCCCCCCGAAACGGTGATCTCTGTGTTGATTTGTGTGACTTCAGGGTGGTTGTGTGCTTGGGGAGAACTTTTGTTTTATTTTTCTTTTTCTAATTGGAGGGAAATAAGTTTCCAAACCGCTGGATGGAGGTGCCCAGATGGGGTTGGTGTGCCGTGGAGGTTTGAGGAATGGCCGCCGTGGCTGTGAGCTTATAGCTTGTGCTTTATTTAAATGAACTGATGATGCCTCGCCAGGCTCAGCCAGAGTCAGTGCCTGAAGCTTTTTGTAGCCGCGATATCCCAGAAGAGAACCAGCGACGTCCTGAAAGATGCGCTCTTATAGAGCGGCCATAGTTATCTGTCCAAATATTTGCTTCCATTTTCAAGAGATAAAAAGTCATTGATTACAAACTTCCTTCTCTTGGTTTGTTCTTTGACCGTGTTCTTGCCAGGTCTGGGTGCTCAGGAAGGTGTGGGGGTGGGGAATGTCATCAGCCGTGCCCAGTTCCCCTCTTGAAGCTGGTCCCAGGCAGGTGTGGGGGCTGCAGGGTTGGGGTTCTGATGAATGATGGCAGCACGGGGTAACCGCAGCAATGGAAACCCAATGGTGGGCTGAGCCACCCCTCTTCTGGGACTCTGCATTCTGCCCATTCTGGCCGCAAGGGATGGTGGTTCCCCTGCAAGCACAGCTGCGGGCTGCTGAGAAGGCAAGATGGGGATGCTGTCTGCAGATGTTCCCTTGCAGCCTGTGCATGCCCTGACCTTGTCCCAGTGATGCTCTACCCCTGTCCCATGGGTTCCCCAGAAGCTTTGGTGTGGGTGCAGCTGAGCACTGCACCCTGTGTTGGGACAGAGGGCTGCAGTGGGGTTGTTTATGGATGCAGGGTGTGTGCTGCGGATGTGCTCTTGCAGCACCCTTCCTGCGGGTGCAGCTCCTGCGCGCTGCTGTGCCGGTGCTTGCGGTCAGGGCGGGTTCCTCCTCAGCATCCCTGTGCTCTGAGAGCCTGAGTGCTGCCCTGGGTGGGTGCAAGGAGAAGCGTTTAGGTGTGGGGGCTCTGTGAATGCATAGAGCCAAGCCCCTGCCCTCCTCCTTTCCCCGCTGGGGTCCCCTGTGTCATCCCATCAAGTCAGCTCTCAGGGATCTGTGCCTGCACCGTACCATGGGTGCTGCCAGCTTTAGGACTGCCTTTCCCATCACTTCTGCTTTCACTTGTGCTTTCAGCACAAGCCCCAGCGTGCAGGCTTGGAGATGCAGGGTAGTGGAATAGCCACGGGATCATCATCCTGGTAGAGGAGCCGGAGGCCGATTTCTGGGTGCACGCAGCCCCCTGGCCTCCGGTGTCAGCGTCACGTCCTCCTCTTGCAGGGCTCCAAAACCGCAGCCACATTTCCTGCCTGCCTCACTGGGGAGTTGCAGGCGGAGCGCAGCCCACGACGCCCCTGGGGTTGGGACCTCAGCAGCGACAGCTACCAGTGCTGCAGCTCGGGGTCCTGCAGCATCCCCCGGCACAGGTGAGCTTCAAAGTCCATGGGGATGGAGCAGGGTGCCCAGGGGATGCTTGGTGTGGTCCGCAGGGGCTGCCAACCTCTTCCCCATGCTGCTCACCGGGGTGTGAGGAGGGCGGATGTGGGGCAGTTCTGGGGCTGGATGTGTGAGCTGTTTGGGGACTGCTGAGTGCTGGGTGGGCTTGGATGACTTTAATCCTGCTCTGAGTGGATGGCCCTGGCATTATGTTGGCAGCACGGAGGGGGAGGAAGGCACTGGGGGGTTCTCAATCTGCAGCCTGTACCATCCCCATGCTTTCATTTCCACTCAGGCAGCCCTCCTGCACCCACTCTTCTCACAACGGCCGTCTCCATCACGGCTCGTTTCCCATTTCCAGCCTCTCCACTTCCCTTTGCAAACTCTCTTTGCTCAGATGGAGGGGCCTCGTTTCACCCACCCCCTCTGTCCTCCCCAGGTCCCATGGCACTGGGCTACACCATGCTGCTGGCATTGCTGCTCAGCACCCTGCAGGACTGCAGGCCACGGCCCACGGAGCAGAGCCTGCAGTGGGTCTGGGGGGCAGCAGAGCAGATCCCGGCTGAGCCCCCACTGCCCTCCCGCAGAAGAAGAGCTGATGCTGGACCCCATAGCACCACTGTGACGCCTGTTAGCAATGAGACTGCATCCCCTGGGCATAACGTGCTGATGGGCGTGGAGCTGGGCAACACCACTGGGCAGCCCAAACCTTTGGTGGTCACCACAACAGGTCAGATGGATGATTCCCCTGAGCCTCGTGCACTGCTGGACATGGAGGCGGACAACACCTCCAGCCAGGCCTTGGTGCTGACCACGGTCGATTCCTTAGATAAGACCGATTCCCCCCAGACCCAGCTGTTGGGCACAAAGCCACCACAACAGCCAGGCAACACTCCCAGGCAAGCCAAGGCTTCGCCGGTCACCACAGCGAATCCATTGACTGAGACCAACACCCCTGAGGTCACTGTGCCTTTGGGCACGGAGCTGCCACCAAAGGTGAATGACAGCACCAGCCAAGCCAAAGCCTTGGTGGTCACCACAGTGGATCCTTCGGATGAGACCGACTCTCCTGAGACAGCACCCGACACAGCACCCCAGAGTGGCAGCACCGTTGTGCCCAACCAGCTCATGGAATCCACAGGGCACGGCACGGATGGGACCATGACTAGTGACATGGACATCTCCACGGAGCCAGGCTCAACTCTTCTCCCCACCACCACATTTTCCAAAAAATCTGCCTCTCACCCTCCATGGGAGATGAACACAACACCTTTGTCCACGAAACCACGGGGGACCACAACATCGGACACCTCTGATGACCTGTGGGACAGCAGCTCGCTGATGAACAAGTGCCTGCTGGCCATCCTGCTGCTGGCACTGGTGGCTGGGCTCTTCATGGTGTGCACAGCAGTGCTGGGCACCTTGCTTTGGCGGCGGGTGAGGACGGCTCGTCGGCAGCTCGGCCCCACTGAGATGATTTGTATTTCCTCCCTGCTGCCTGACAGTGAATGTGCTGCCAACAATGGTCCTCGGCGTGGCATCCCCGTGCGTCACAGGCTGCTGGTCGATGCCAGCTCTGAAGCTGATGGTGACAACCTGACGCTCAGCAGCTTTCTACCGGAGCATTCCTGAAGCATCGTGGTGATGGAACGGCGTGGGGTCCATCCCTGGTGCCACCCGTGTCCCCCTTGGAACTGTATGGAAAAGACTCATCCACTCCATTAAAATGCCTCTGCTACACAGATGCGGTGATCTCTTGGTACCTACCCACATCCCCATCCTGAAATTTCGCTTCTCCATCCTCCTCTGATGGCAGCAGCAGAAATGAAACCTTCTCAGGGTGCAGAGCGTATGGAGATGGTGACCCCAGGGTTCCCAAGCTCATGCTGAGGGTGGAAAGGGTGGTGGTGCTGCAGCGGGTGTGTTTGTGGCTTAACATGTTCCTGCCTGTGGTCAAATGCAATGGGGCCAGGGGATGGCAGTGGGGCTGGTGGGGTGCTGCTGGCCGATGTCTCACACTCACAGGTGGTGGCTGTGGGCTCTTGGCCTTCTGTCCAGGGGGAGAAGAAGACTCTGGGACCATGCTGGTCCCACCTTGTCCCAGTGGGGAGGTGTCGGCCATCCCTAGAGTCACCAACCCAACCTCTTCTCTGTGCTCTGCCTTGGAGGAGCCACTCAAGGGAGCAGGAATAGCTTACGTCCCTGTCCCACCACAGGGCTGTGTCCCTATGTCACCATCCTGGTCCTCCATGGGCACATCCTTGCGTCCCCATCCATGTGCCATTTGGGCACAGCATCCCCATCCCTGCTCTTCCAGTCTCAACATCACCATCCCCAATGTCTCCATCCCCAATCTCCCCATCCCTGTCCCAGCTCAGCATCCTGCCCCCACCATCCCCAGCCCTCTTCCCCCTCCGTGTCCCCATGTCCCCAGCACCCTGCTCACATCACCGTTTGCAGCTGCATTTGGGCAGCGAAGCCCCTCCCCAAGTGCTGTGCCCCAATGCATCCATGCCTCGAAAGCAGAGGAGTGGCCATCCCACTCCCGCCCTGGCCTCCGAATGTGTTTACATTCACGCTCTGCTTTGAATATTTTCCACCTCGCTCAATGTAAATGTTTACGGTGAGGCTGCAGGGCCGGTGCAGCAGGGATGGCGTGGTGGGGCCACCCCACAGCTGCTCTTCCATAATGACAGCTGTCTGCCAACAGATGGATGTGGTGCCACGCTCCTTCCTAGGGACACGGTATAGGATGGGATGTCCCCGTGCCTTGAGCCACAAAACAGGGCAGTGGCCAGGTTGGCTCTAAGGGCAGATCCGTGCTTGGGATGCAGCGGCTGTGCACAGTGCTGGGCAGAACACAGTGCTGTGCTGTGCAGGCTGCTATGTGGCTCACTGCTGTGCTGCCCACACGGCCACGCATGCTGTGGTGCAGCCCTGCAGGACGAGGTTCCCCCCCCCCCAGCTATTTTGCTGCCACAGCAAAGAGCAAACCCAACGGAGCAAATTACAAGCAGAGCAAGGCCGAAATTTCCCAAATTGCTGGTTGGGCTCGGGGCTGTGCTGAGCCGAGCCCTGTGGGCCCCCACCTTTCATCTGCCCCAAATTACACAGCACAGCCCGGGCGGTGCTGCCCTGCCCAGTCCCCAAAAACAGCATCGTAATGGTCGGTGGATGCTGGCAGAGGGGCCACCCCAAATTGTGTTCTTTGCAGACAGGGACAGTGGTTCAGTGCTCCCCGGTGCTGCTTTATTCGAAATCTCATCGCGGCCCCATGATCTTTGAGACAAGGAATGGGGACACATGGCACGTATGCGGGGCCCTGGCTCCATCCCAGGCTCTCCGCTCCCTTTTAGGATTTTCAGATAATTTAAGGTCGGGATAAGCAGCAGCTGTGAGCAGCCGGCGGGCTGCAGGCAGACGGACTGATGCGTTATTTCTGGGAGCAGGGGGGTGACGCCGGGTGAAACCTGAACTGTCGGGGATGGAAATGGGGACAGGGACAGGAACGGAGACGCCCACCCTCATCCCCCACCCTGCGGTCCCAAAGCAGTGGCTTCTTAGGGGGATTCTGGCAGGGTCCCCAGGGAGGCGGGATGCAAATAGCAAGGGGATGAGGTCACTGCTTGAGTTCCTTGGGCTGCAACGGAGGGGATGAGGGGCTGAGAGGGTGGGATGGGTGATGCCCTCATTCTGGAGCTGTTTCTGCACCTCAAGGCCACACTGAGAGCCACCAAAAGTGTCAGGGAATTAAGCCCCAAACCCTCCCCATCCCTGTCCCTGTCTTGGTCTCCATCCCCATCCTTACCCCTATGGATCTCAGGGTGACACCACCCAGCTCTCCCTACGCTGGGGACATTGCTCTGCCATGGGATGATGGGAGCTGTGTGAGTCTGGCCTCCAGGGAAAGACCAAAGCTGAAAGGGGGTGGCAGAAAGGACATCCTTGGTGTGCCTGGTGGCAGACAGGGTGGATGGGGTGTATGGGTGAATGGGCTGGAGGTGATGGAGGGGGTGAATGAGGTGGATGGGATGGGGGGATGAATGGGATGGGACTGATGGGGTGGATGGGATGGATAGGATGGATGGGGCATGTGAGCAGTGCCCTGTATATAGTTTTGATCCCCTTTGTCCCAGGGCAGATGCATGATCATGCTTTACAGGATCATGTGTCCTGAGCCCACATCATGGCAAGGCTTAGGTTTACAGGGATGGGATCCAGCCCCAGGTTGGGTTGCAGCCAAAGGGAACTGCGTGGGGGCAAAGCTCACATCTTGGGGCTGCACAAAGCCCTGAAGGAACCACGCTGTTACCTCCATCCCTTGCTACAACCCCCTCCTCACACCCCCTTTCCCCACTTGCATCCCAAAAAGGAGTGCGGGGAAGGTGACCCCCTTCATTGAGCAGCCCCCAGCCCGGGGCCGCCCCACTGGGAGGGAGCCATAGTGGGCTGGGGGCCGCCTGTCCCTCTCCAGCCTCCCCCTGCTCCCTCCCCAACACGGCCCTAATGAGAACAAGCTGGTCTGCTGCGCACACAGCCAGTGAGCTCAGGGCTACAGCGGGTGAAGGAGGAGGAGGAAGAGAAGGAGGAGGAGGAGGAGGGAACAGGACCAGGGCTCGGTGCAGACAGGCAGAGGAGCGCGGGACAGACACGCAGTGCCGGTGAGGTGAGCCCCCTGAACCCCGAGTCTGTTGCATGGAGTCTGCTCTCCCCAAAGCTCCCACTTTCTAATGCTTTGTGCTCTCTTTTCTGCTCAAACTCCAATTTTTGGGTGGCTTGATGGCTTTTGGGGTGCAGGATGGGGCCGCAGCTGTCTGTATGCTTTGGAGGATAGCATGTCTGCACAGCACCGAAATCTCCAAATTCTTGAGCTGCAGAAAAGCAGAGTTGTGTCTGCGTTGGTGTGGCAAAGCCAGGAATGGGGCCACATGGTGGGGATGGGGACAATGGGATGGCAATGGTCACCCATTTGGGTTTCGTGTATTGACTCTACAACTGCTGGCTCCTTTTGCAAACAAAGTCACATTCCTGGGACATGGGAGCGTGCCCCAATCCTGAAACTGCATCCCCCCAAATCCCAGCAGGGATTGCAGGGCCACCTCCCACCCCGTGCACGCGCTGCTTTAATGCAAACCAGATTTCTGCAGCCAGAGAGAGCTGGAGCGCCAAGAGCTCCGGCTGGAGGCTGAGGCTGGGGGAGAAAACCCCAAGCTGATTGGGATTTGGGGGTGTAAGGATGGGAGATGGGCCTGGGGGGATGTGCTGTGTCCGGTACCAGTTGAGCTCCTGCCAGCCTATTTATAGCTGAGCTCAGACTGGGAACCGTTTGGAGTGTTCAGCGCCGGGACGAGCGTTGGGAAATGCGGCGGCTCCATCTGTGTCAGAGTTTCCACTTGGAAACCTCAATTTTCAGGAATTTTCAAACCAGACGAAGGCAGCCTGCAGCCAGCTCTTGGCTCTCACCCTGGTCACCTCGTCGCGCACGCAGCGTCCCCATGACTTGAGCAATCGCGTTGGGCTGCTTTCCATCTATTTTTACAGCGCCTCTTTGCAAAACAAACACAAACTTTGCTTATCCTCACCACCATTGCAGCGAGCAAACCAAAGCCCATTTTTGCTTTTCTTGAAGAATTTTAGCTGCGTGTGGCTGGGGGTCGATGCACTGCTTGGGTTGGGGTCAACGTGACGCAGTCTTTGCTTAGGGTTTGGGTTTTTCCCCCAGTAAGCCCTAACATTTTGCTGTCCCCCTGCTCTCTGCAGGGCGATGGCGGTGCAGCTGCCCGCGTGCCTTCTGTTGGTGTTTCTGGTGGCCCTAGTGCACTCGGCAGCCCCACGGCACGTGGCTGTGTTCCACGAGCCCAGTGTTGGCAGTGGGGATGGAGAGGAAGCCTCTGCTGTGCCCCCCGCCCAACCCGTGACGCCGGGAAGCGGCCCCACAGTGGGGGACGCAGTGGGGACAGCCATCACCAACAGCTCGGCGCCGGGCAACGTCTTGGATGGGTTGGTGGATTTCTTCAAGGAGTACATGCTGCTGGTGGTGGTGGTGGGTTCGTTGGCCTTCGTCTTGCTCTTCATCATCTGCGCCGCCGTCATCGTGCGGCAGAAGCACAAGGCCTCAGCCTACTATCCGTCCTCCTTCCCCAAAAAGAAGTACGTGGACCAACGGGATAAGACCGGAGGGCCTCGGGACTTCAGCGAGGTGCCTGAGAAAGCTCCAGACCCCGACGCTGAGGAGCCCCTGGACTGTGGCCGACAGCTGCAGGCTGACATCTTGGCTGCAGCCCAGAACCTCAAATCTCCCAATAAAGTGCCGTTGACCAATGGGGCCGGTGCCCAGGGAGAGCACGAGGGTGGGGTGGAAGAAGGCAGCGAGCATCCCATTGAGCCCCATCCCCTGAATCAAGATGCTGAAGGAGTGGGGTCAGAGGCAACGAGCGCAGAGGGCAAGGAGGCCCAAGATGGCTCTCCCAGCACCTAGTGCCAACCATGGACTAGGAGCCGGGCTCCTGGCGGCCCTGCTCACCTCCCACCTGAACGTGGAGGCTCGAGGAAGCCCCGATGAAGCCCCACTCCCCTTCCTTTACCTCCCCCTGACCCCACGCAGCCACGAGAGGCCATTTTTGAGCTGCACTTCGGGCTGTTGTGGAGCTCAGTGCAGCTAAACCCATCGCTTGTGCTCTCTCCATGGGTGCTTTCCTTGGATCTCCCCAAAAAATAAAGAGAAAAACCCAGGCTGGGTCTCCCCACCGTCCTTGCACAGCTTTCTCGCAGATGTTATTTTTGCTCATTATCGCATCCTGGCCCCCACCCAGGCAACGGGACGTGGAGGAGCCATGACCCATGACTTCATGACCTACTGGTAGTTCAGACCTTCTATGGTGGCCTGGAAACATTGCAGACCCCTTGGATCAGGGAGGGGGATTTGCTGCTCCCATCCCACTCTTCCAACACTCCCCCTTCCCTCCTCCTCCCCCCCATTCCCCCGCAGTGCTTTGTGGAGACTGGAGGCATTTTGGACTTGTTTTGGTGAGAAAAAGAAGGGAAAACCTTAGCCAACCTTAGCAGGAGGGAAGAGGATGCAGTGACAATGCCCCCATCCTTTTGTTTGTATGCCCTGAATGTCACAGACCCGTCGGAAAGCACAGTGAACGGAGCTCAGAGAGGAGCTGGAGTTTTGCCTTATTTTCTTAACCCCCTTTGCTACGAATAAAGACATTTACTATGCACATTTCTTCCTCTCATGTGTGTTTCTTGAGCTGTCAGGATAGGCAAGCCATGGGCTCAGTGCCATCCTTCCCTGGCAGTACTTGGGGACATCAGGATGGGCAGGGGAGGCTCTGCACTGCAGCAGGCAGCAAAATATTTTGTTTAGAAAATAACAACAACATCCTTCCCAGAGTTACGCTCCCTACAGCTGCATGCTTGCTGCTGGTGACACCCTCAGAGCCAGGGGACGCAGTTATCACTTGCACAATCTGCGTGCAATTCTCAGAAACCGTTATCTACAGTCACACAGCAGTGTGAGTGGGGAGGGCATGGAGCTGCCTTGCCAGGGTGCAGAGCTCTGGCCTGAGATCCTCTCTGGAGAGATGTACACAGGCTTGTTTCCTGATCTCACCGTGGTTTGCTTTGAGAATTCAGCCATGTGCTTTGTCCTCCAGCAGGAAGTGCTGATGGAAGGCAAGTCTGCTGTACCAGGAAGGCAGCACGTTCCTGTATCCTCATGTATGGGAAGTATTAGGTCATGGGCTGAAACAGTGGTTGAGCACCTGGTGAAAGGGTGTAGCCAGCCCTGGGAGCACAGGTGGAAGCAATTCACCTGTGTAACCCTGGGTCCACCCGTGGTTAACCTCATTTAAGGGCTGGCAGCCACAAGGAAAGCGTCTCTACCTGGAGATTGCCTCCTTTGTCGTGTTTGATGAGCCCTGATTCTTGGAAAGGGGTAAGCAATTTTTTCTTTATTACTGGATTATGACCACTGTCTTTCTTGGTTTAAAGCAACTATATCTGCTGTCACCTATCCTTACACCTCACATCCCTGTGTGTCTTTATATTCACATCTCAGCATCCCTACATCCTTCTACCAATGTAACCCCATGCTTATGCATCCCCATGACTCCAGCTGACTGCATTTTGCAGGGAAACCAAAGGATTCCCCCAAACAGGGGTGTGACAGCAACCTGCTGAGATTCCCACCTCATTCCTCAGTGCTCTGTGGGGCAGTGGAGAGGTCAGCAGAGCCCCACCAGATCCCTGCAACAACCACAAGGCAAGTGGGAACACAGCCATCCAGATGCTTTCCCAGCACAAAGCGAGTGCTGGCTTTTTATCTCCCTCCTGCTTTTTGCCCGAGGGGCTCTTGTGAGCACAAGGAGCCCATTCTGTCCAGAAGTGCACGTGGGTGGCTGAAGTTTCCCTGATTTTTTTTTTTATTTTATTTTTTTTTTAGACTGGCAAACCACTCAGCTGCTCCTAGGGAACGATGCACATTCCTTCTTACAGGAGGGGCAACGCTGAGGGCTGGAATCCAGCCTGCAGCTCAGCAGTATGTGGAGGAATGGGCAATGGGCACAGGGCGGTGCTGAGCTGAGGGACCACAAACCACAGCAGCAACAACACATGTCCTGCTTGGCAGATTAGGGGACTGAAAAAATCATTGCATTGCAGACAGAAACCAGAACGAGCCACTTATTTTTCAAACACATTGTTTTTAATGCAGCTGTGAAACATCATAGGTATGAGAACTGGAAAGGAAGATAGGGCAGGGTGTGGGGTGAGGATGTTTTAAATCTGTAAGAGCAGGGAATGTTTTTCAAGTGTATTATCTTTTGATTTGAAGATCTGTGGTGATATCCTGCGGAAAATAGCCATCAGTGTGAGGCACAGGGGAGCACAGTGGCCTGAAGAACAGAGGGTAAGCCATGCTGTGTGGCCATAAAAGGCCTATGTTTTGAAATGATGCTGTGCCCCGCACTCCCAGTCCATGCAGTGGGTGTGCAAATCCTCCACTTGGTGAGCATTACCCCTGCTCTCTCCACAACTCACCTCTCCAGCAAAGCAGTTTAAGCAGCTTTAGCTGTGCACAGAAAGATGCTCAGGTGAGACATCTGCCAGGCTGTGTTTCTGAATTTCCTTCCACAGCTGAAGAGAATCCAGCCCTAAAACTACTAAAGGCAACAGAGGCTGTCAGAAATAGCATCCAAAATCAGCTCCTGCAGCAGGTAAGAATCCCTTCTGTCCCTGGCTTAATAACAAGAACAGTGACTGCTAGCTCTGCTTTGGAGGGGAGGGGGGAAGATCAGAAGACACCCCCAGACGGTACAGACTCCTGCTCTTCCAGGGAGATTCCCCTCAGCATTACATCCCAGTTAAGCTATTTGCATTCTGGGTTTGAATCCTCAGCGTGCATTTAATCTCTTCTAACAGTATTTGGCAAATTGAAGGGTTGAACGCTTTTAAAAAATGCTCCAACGTTAACTCTCTTGCTATTGGAGGACATGAGCACAAACAAGACCTGCCAACGCTGCTGGGTCTGTGCTTCCTGGCACCCAACCGCAGCTGCTATTTGCTCATCTCCCACAGTCACACAGTCAGTGCCCTCTAGTGCCTGCTGAAGCATCCCAGCTCCTCCCAGAGAGTAGCATGACGCAGGGGATAGACAGCATGTGAGAGGTCACAGATTGTGAAACCAAACTCCAGCACAGCTGCAGACCAAACCACCCGAAATTTATACTGTAATGATTTACAAAGTGACCTGCAGATCTTACATAAAGAACAAGGCAATGTTTCCCACCAAACTCGGTAAAACATTAGGCAAAACTATACATTTCCAGAAGAAAAAAGTGCAGCCCTTCCAATGCTGGAACAGGATTCTCTCTCTCTTGAGAAGCTACTGGGGAGCCCTGCAGTGGAGCAGTTTTTCACTCCTAATATTTCAAAACCAGTCCCAACAGGACAAAGGCTGCTGAAATACCCACATTCCAGTCATTTAAGCACTACCAGGGTGGCTATACACACATGAGCAGTGACACATTGTGCGTTGAGTTGTGCGTATTTTACAGCTTCTTGAGTAGTGCACAGGATTCTATTAATAGCTAGAATAATTGCACTGCAAATTTAACTGGAATGAGGTCAACCTCTACAGTCCATTTAGGAATTAGTTTGCTTTCTGCTCCGACTCTCCTTTCTTTGGATCCTGTTTCAACTTGTAGTCAGCCAAGGCAGCCTTGATTGCATCCTCAGCCAGCACTAGGGGAAAAAAAGCACAAAACAATGTCTTTTACAAGACCAGTCATTTACAGACATTTCAAGAACAATGACAAGTCACTGAGAACAAAGAATGCAGCACAAGCAGAAGCAGCCAGCAATGCCCACCACTGTGGGTCAGCCTTAGCTGCTATGTGTGCAGAAACTTTATTTGGAAAACACACAAAAGCATCTGTGCTCTCAAATAAAAACTTGTTTGGTTCTTTACTTACTAGAGCAGTGCAGTTTGACTGGAGGAAGGCAAAGTTCTTTTGCAATATCTGTGTTCTTGATTTTCAATGCTTCATCAACCTGAAATGTATGGGTAGGGTACAGTCATCAGTCACTCTGCATACACACATACATATGATGCACACATCTGCTAAAGGCATTTGCTACCAGTGTGCTTCAAAGCTCTGGAACCAACCAAACTGACACTCTGAGAAGGCAGTAAAGGATGCTGATAGCATTCTAGCATGATAAAAGCCTTCTGACAATACCTGTTTTATTTTGCTCCTGCCAAGCAACAAATATGCAACCTGCTGTAGGGAACATCATTTAGCAGAGGACTAGATGATACTCAGAAGTCCCTTTCAACCTCTATGATTCTGTGAAATATAAGGAGTGTCTCACAGCACGCAGTAGTTATTAATAAACCAAAGCACACTACTGTCACTGATCGTTCTAGGTCTGTTTACCTTCCACTGTAATACAGAAGCATTCTACTTGTTAAAATGCCAAAAACATGGAGGTCATTGAAAGACATTCCACTATGTAAGTGCTTTCAGAATCAGTGCTCATCACCTATTTTTGATTGCTGTGTAGCACAGAAACCTCCACAGCTTACTGGAGGTTCCCAGAAAAGGCAAATGCTGCTTCAGAAGTTAGGCCAGGAAGGATGAAACTGCATTCTGAGCTTCTATGCATGCGTAACACTTGAGTGTACCTCCCTAGACCCATTTCATTCCCTGATCCCAGGGCTAGGTATGAATATGTAACTGCTCCCCACCATACCCCTCAAGCCAAGCCCTTACCGTTTTCCCTTTCACCCACTCTGTTGCCAGTGAGCTGGAGGCAATGGCAGAGCCACAGCCAAAGGTTTTGAAGCGAGCATCAACGATGCGGCCGTTCTCATCCACTTCCACCTGTGGGAACGTCAGAGGGGTGCTCAGCTCCACAAAGCACAGGAACCACCCACAAAGTCAGGGATAGGAGACTGATTTTAGGGCAGGGGGTCTTTGGATTTTAAGGCCTGGGGAGGGACTTTATGGTCCGAGGGGGCGTGACGGGGAAATTATGTCACAGCCATAGGATGGGAGACAGCTGCGAGTTGGGGCCTTGCAGCAGGACCCCGGGCTCCCCTCACCTGCAGCTTCATGACGTCGCCGCAGGCCGGGGCGCCTACCAGGCCCGTGCCCACGTTCTTTGCGTTGCGATCGAGAGAGCCCACGTTGCGCGGGTTCTCGTAGTGATCCACCACCTGCGAGATGAACGCATCACTAAGAGTCTCCGACAGCCACTATCGGCTCCTCACAGCCCTCCCCGCCGCCCCTCACCTTCTTATGGTAGCCCACCCCCGCCGCCGCCCCCCGCCCGGGCCTCAGCAGCGCCGCCCCCGCCACCCTCAGCGCCGCCATCTTGCGTCTGCCCGCACCTGGCAGCGGCGCGCACCCCCAACCCTCCCGAAGGACCCCTGGCGGCCAAGGCCCTGAGGTGTCCGCGGCGCCGCCTGCGCCGCAGCCGAGACTACAAAGGGCAGCGCGCGGAGCTGCTCGGCTCTTCGTAGCTGCGAGGCACAGAGAAGCGCCGAGCCTTGCCGAGAGAGTTTCTCTTTCTTCTTCTCACCGCTCTCGGCTGTGGGGAGTGTGCGGTATTGGAACAGGCGCGCTGTGGCCAACCCCGACGGCTGGCGGAGCGCGGCCTGCAGCGAGGCGAGCTGCAACAAGATGGCGGCGGCGGGAGCCGAGGCGGCGGCGGCGGCGGAGG